TAAAAGAAAGCAAATACTCTGTTTCATAATTGAATTTGATTAATAAAAATATTATTTGATAATAAGGAGTTTCGCAGAAGTTTGAAGCTATATTAAAATTTATCTTTCTCGTGTTCAATAAAAACAAACTTGTTGAAACTTTGACAGATTAGCCTACCTGCCTTATGGTAAATAAGCAAAATGTTTAATTTCTATAACTTTTTCGATTTTCCTAATGATCTTGATTATCTTTTATAGAGCACTATAACTTTCAAAATAAAAATGAATTTATGTTTAATTATCGATGTTTGTTAATTTGATTAGCATCCTGTTCGAGTACTAATTTTAATTATATTGGCATTTTCTCTGTGGCTTATAGGTATAAAGAAACACTGAATTTGTTCTGTTATTTTTTAATATCTTGTTTCATTTGTTCAGCGTTGATGTATTTTCATCCCTTGTAATTTTTCTTTTTATATTCGTCATGAAAAATAGCACCTAATCGATCACCTAGTTGTGAAGAAGGGTGTGGGTGTGAGTGAATATCTTCTTTTTTTTAAATATTTCTCGACCGTTCAAAACTCAAGCAGTAGCATTATGAGTAAAATATGTTGAAGTCTAGCCGAATTATTTTAGATCAATTTCATCGAGAGCAGATCGGATCGAGATGATCGAATCTTACTATCTCATTGTCTCGCGTTCGATCAACAAAAACAAAGAAAACGAGATTATTACTATATTTAAATAAACTCAAAATAAGTAATTATTCATTTTTACATCAAACATAGCTAAAATGATGAGATCCCAGTGTGCCGCATTTCTGTTGAACAAAGTGTTCTCTGACAATCATCTCGTGTAGCAGTAGAATGTGTGATACATTTTTGTTTAGTTTCTGTTGATAAAGATACTCACGATAACGACTTTCTCTTATCTATTTTATCATTGTGATAATAGAACATATTTTATTCAACAAGTAAAAATCTTTCGGAAGATTTGTTAAGATGAATTCATTGACATGATTTGATCGATAGAGGCACCAGTACATCCTGGAAAATGATCACGGCTTACTCCTCCATCAACAAGAGACCTTATTGAATTTTACATGAGGAGATGCATCATAATCTGCTCTTGCTATCCATGTGACTGCAGAGACGGACTGTTTTTCCTAGCATAAATGTTGGTCTCTAAGTACTACAACATGATAAAATCAAAGTTTTGGCGAAAAGATTCCAACCTCCTTTTCTAAAGACATACTATGGATAGTATGAAAGATGTGTAATAATTTATCTTCTGTACCTACGTTCACGACTAGAAGATTCAGAATTGGAATCATTATTCTATAGAACAAGTGAATTTAAGTAATTGATCAATGGAACTAGCAACAACATTCAGGAACTTTGCATTCATGAGTATTCATATCATATCGTGATTCAAAATACCACCACACATTTGCACAATTCACTATTGGAAATGTACCAAAACATATGTTGTGAGTGTACGTTTATCAATACGAAACTTAATGTTCTTGACATTAAACTTCAACAATATACGTTTAAAATGGAACAAAAAGAATAACAATACCGTACCTGTCTGGTTGAATGTCTTTCAGACACAGTAGTAATTCCATTGTTCAAATAATTCGTTTCTTCAAACACAATACCATTCTTAACTTGAACGACAAAACACGCGCTTTCGTCATTTTAGTACGTGACAAATGTGTTGATTCAATCATTAGAACGATTGATCGACTACAGAGCGATACAAAGGTCGCCATGAAGAACTCGTCGATTGATACCACTACATATCGAATATTCTTCTGTTCTTCGCCAGATATACAAGGAAAAAAAGAAAGAAACTTTATTTTTGTGAGCGCAAACTGGATAGATGACGCAAACGACTGCACCATTCGGTCACAATAAATACGTTGTATTGGACTATTTTAAATATTCAGTCAGATTTGTTTCACATCGAACACGACCTTATATATGAGCAGGAATACAGTGGTCACGTGATAGATCGAAAAGTCACATTATAGCCAGAGACTGTACTTGCTACAGAAGCGATTCGTCTCTCTTTGCTATCTTCTTCATTTGCTAGTCGACATGACCTCATCACAAGTGTGTACCATTGATTCCTGTAAACGATCTGCTCGAGTTGTTTGCATCTGCTGTCAACAGAATTTCTGCATCATTCATCTCAATGAACACTCTGATCTCGTCAAAGTTCGACTGACATCACTTGCTCACGAACTCAACAAACTATCAAATCAATTCACCAACGATTCTTTGCTTCGACCTGCTTTTCTCACTGAACTTGATAAATGGCGTCAAGAAGCACATAAATCAGTTAATCATTTCTGCGAAAAAAAGAAACAAGAATTCGAAGAGTTTTTCCGTAGCGAACGAGATAATCAAAAAATTGAACTCAATCGTTTACGGGATCAAATCAATGAATTCATTCGAGAAGAAGAAGCAACACAAGAAGATATAGATTCAAGGAAGATGTCCATTCGATCACTTCAACATCAAGCGGATCAATTCGAACTTCCTCAATTCAGTCTTTCGCCATTAGTCATCGATGACCAGCTCGTTGCTATTCATCAAAATAGATCAAAACCAGATGATTACTTGCCTCTATCTTCTCCATATCAAACGATTCAACTACAAGACAATTTGTATTCCATAGCAGTTAATGGCAATTTTATCTTAGCGAAACGAGAGTCAAAACTCTGTCTTCTGGAATGACAATTGAGCATCTGCAAAGAAATTCCATGGACTCATCGTACTATTTGGGATATGTTCTGGTCTTCAACACTCACTCAATTTGTTATCATCACTTGGGAAAAAGTCTTCACTCTCAATGACAAGGCAATGTATGTTGCACCAATTTCACTTGGAAGCAACGCAACAAAGAACAACTGGTATTGTGGAACGTGTTCAAATGATAACTTATTTCTCTCGACAATAGGTGTCGGTCCATCGATCTACAAATATACTCTTCTACCCTCGATTCAATTAGTCAAAGAATACCAATCACCCGTTTCCTGTAGAGAAGACGAACGAATCCAAGATCTCTCATCGAACAATCATGTACTCGTGGTTGTCATCGAGAATCACCGGAAAACAGTGCCTTTCGATCTATGTTCGCCGATAACACTTGAACGACGCTGGCCAGCTGATCTCGATTCGTTGACTTGATTCAGCGGAAGTAGATGTTGCTCGTTGAAACATGACGAATGGATGGTGATGAATCCAAATAACTCCGAACTTCTACATATTTCTGGAGGCGGGAAAATCATAAAAAAAGATCAATACAATCCATCACCTCTTCATGCCGTTCAAGTGGATAACGATGTTCTTGCCATAATGACGGAAAAAGATATTCGTCTTCATAAATTCTCTTAAAGTATTTTGCTTATTTCATTTGTTTTTTTTTTGTCTTCTCAATTTTCTTTCATATTGTGAAAACATTGCCAAATCTCTTGTCTCTAATGCTTAGCTTGAATTCGTGTGAGTCTAACTCATGATTATCATCATCATCAAGAAAAATGAATTCATATAAAAATAATGGCTATATGTATAGTAAAAATTCTCAGTACTAGGACTGACAGCAATTAGTTGGATTTTATGTAAGAAAAGTACTCAGTAAATTCTTTTCTCATGACAAAAGAAATCGTTTGTGTTGTCTTGTTGAGATAAGGTGTGGTTGTGGGTGGAGTGTGGACGTGGATCTGCTCTACAACGACACCCACCTACACTCTCACGTTCACACTTACCCACATCCCTCACCGTCGTCTACACCCCCATACTCACACGCATCCGACATCCATACCATCACACTCACCCGCATCCCACACCTACCCACACCCACGCTCCACCCACACTCACACCCCACCCCACACCCACTCACATCCATCCACACCCTCAATTTGAGACACACATAAAACAAGAGAAAACAATAATTAAATATATTACTTCGAGAATTCTTATCTTTGTATTTCGATCTGAGACGAATCAAAAATAAGACACTAGAATAATTAATTATATTATTTCAAGAATCCTTACCTTGACATTTCCATTTTAGATGAACCTAAATCAAAACAAAAGACTAATTAGATTGTTTAAAAGGTTCTTAACATTCTGTTAGCATTTAAACTGATCCTATAACAAGTCAGAAGTTAGTTATATTATGTGAAAATGTCTTATCATCGTATTTCTATTGGAGGTGAACCTAAGAGA